ACTTTATCGGGGCTACTTGTTTGATTTGGAGAATGGAGCTGCAACAGGGAGAACAATCTACCTATTAATTGTAATGAAGTCTTTTGTATTCCCGACTAGTATTGTAATCTAATGTCAATAATGAATTTGTTAGAACTCAAAGAAGAAACCCAATAATCGGACATTTTACGTGTTCTCTTCCCTTGCTGGTTTTCAGTTTTTGCTTTTTAATTTCAATTCATAGCTAGGTAGGGTTCACCATAAGCTTCTATTAAAAACTCCTAAAGCGTCTCTCTGTAATCTGTTTTAGAAGGTTGAAGGCACATCAAAGCCCAAGCCTATGTTGAGCAGCCCTGATATATATCATCTGGACGAGGAAGGAATTACCCCTCTTTTGGAGCTTCCCTTTTATGACTTGTTGCTCTCGAAAGTTCATGTGGGACCTACATATCATATGGTAATTTGTTTTTATTCTTAATATATATATGCTCCTGTTTGAGCCACATTTTTACCTCATTAAAATGAAAAATATAATCGTTATCCATCACATCAAGCCACCATTTTTGAATTTCTATCTCTGGTGTGGGGCCCATAACGGCTCTATTTCTCATTCTCATTCTTATTATAATTATAATGTGGCTCAAACAGGCTCTATATATATATATCTCAAATATGTTGTTCTCTTGCACTCACCTTATTACCATATTTGAAAATGGTGAAGGTTGATTATTATTTACAGGTATAAAATAGTTCTTTGTACTGGTCGAATACTAATGCACTGTTAAAGTGTGGTGATCATCCATTGTACAGAGGATTGCTCATTTTACAAAATTAGGAGCTGATTGTGTTTGTTTACTTTATGCTTGCAGAGCTTTCCACCGAGTTTGGATTCCAAACTACCTTCTACTACAGTCCTGGCGATCATAAAATGCTTTGGCAAAACATGGGAGTTAAAATTCTGTGGGGATATGACACCAAAATGCTTTGATTCGAGTTGGAGAAAGTTTGTGGATGATAACAATCTAGTGGTTGGTGATGCACTAATTTTTGAGCTCCTGGAAAGCAGTTCTGTAAAAGTTATGTTTAAAGTTCAATTTCTAAGCTGCGCAATTCCACCAGAACTGCAAGAACAGATAAATAAGAGTAGAGCTGAACGTCAAGCAATCATTATCGATGACGAGTAGGATATCGAATGGTTTCTGATTGAGAACTATTTGTTGAAAATTTGGAATATTGAATAAGATTTGGTGTTTCAAACTCTTCTGTCTGTCATGTCTTTGTGGTTTTTTATTAGCTTGATCTCTACCATTCATAGTTACAATGTTGTTCTTATACTCCTATAAATTCTGTTACTTTTGGAGTAATATCAATTTTGTCATTGCATATCAGCTGAAAGAGAACACAAAGATGGGAATTCAGGGACTTTGAATTTCAACTCTCTTTCGAATGCATTGCAATCAATGTTTAAGCCTTTACTGTCATACTATTCTTTGGGTTTGATTCACTTTTAACAAGTATTGACGTGGTCTTTGTAGTTGATTGTATCATTTTAAATCTTCAGTGTTGCATGTCAGCTGAAAGATTACTCAAAGAAGGCTTTTCGGAGTCCACAATAATCAACTTCTAATCTAATTTTCCTTCCAGAGTTCCAATTTTCAAACTGCAAAGTTTTTGTCCAATTTTTATAATATTGGAGAGATTGTATAACTCACGGTGCTAAATGCTGGCAATTCAAATCCTCTTGCTACCTGAGTGTAGGGGTGGAGCAGTGCTTGTGATGTGTTAAGCATGTTGCCAGTGTTAAAGGAAAAACACTCTAATCTCCTATCAGAAAATTTCCCAATCTTACCCCGAGCAGCCGGGGTTACTCTAATTAGGCTTTTGAAGAACTTGTTTGCCTTGTTTGGTAATTGTACTCGATCTGATTAACCAAGAGATATTTCCAATCCTATCCAGCACACCAGGTAGTTTTTTGTGATTTGTCTCTCGTCGTTTGCACAAATACATCAATGAGATTCTAGATTAGATTCTTTAATAGATTATGACCTTTTTGAGAAGTCTCCTTGCTATCAGTTTGTTTGTTTCTTTAACAGCACCAATCAGAAGAGCAGTTTATGATTTCAAACAATTGAATCATTGAAACATGGGAAACAAATAATGAAGGATCAAACTAAAGAAAGAACATTTACATTCTGAACACTTGTCACTCACCATCCACCCAAAGGAACAAAATGGCTACAGCAATCAAGAAATGGTTACAACTTACTGCTACACCTCGTTTCTTTGTATAACATCAAAATTGGAGAAGTGAAACATTCTCATTCTGTTGTCTGCAACAGGAAATGGAAATCTGATAACTGATCGAGCACGAGAGGAGGATCCACATCAGACACGTTGATAGCTTGGAAGGATTGCGATGAGGACATCCGATATTTATTTATTTTATTTTCTAGTTAAGCTTTATTTAGTATCTTGGACTCCTATTTAGAGAATTGAACTTGTATTGGTTTGGGCTCCTCCCCCCCCCGCCCCCCCCCCCCCCCCCGGGGGGGGGGGGGGGGGGGAGGGTTGGTGAGTACACCAGATTCAGACTTCCACTGACACATTTCTACAGATGTCGGAAGAAGCTTGCCCAGCCACTTAGCTTATGGTTGGGAGATTGACTGTAGCCTATAGGGATATATCCACTTGACAAGGTCGAGTTTTCTCCTACCCTGAGAGAGTTGATGAGGACATCCGATATTTATTTAATTTATTTTCTAGTTAAGTTTTATTCATTATCTTGGACTCTTATTTAGAGAATTGGACTTGTATTGGCTTGGGCCCAGCTTTACCATTTAAACCTACTTTGCAATGTAATTTCAATTGATGATTGAATAAAGATTTTTGGTGGCTTGTGGCGAAATTCCGCCTCTTCCCCGTTCTTCTTCTTCTTCCCCTATTTTCTTCTTCTTCCATCCCTTTCCCTGATTTCTTCTTCCTGATTCATTGATTTTCTCTTTCTTCATTAATTTTTCTATTAGTGCTGGATCAGATTTAGATATCTCTTCGATAGTAAGAGCATTTTGTTTTATGTTTATGACCTCCTGTTACGACTGTAAAGTTTGATTTCCTTGAATCCGCATCAAGCAAGAATGTGTTATTTGGCATAGTAATTGAATCTTCCACTGCTAGTGCTTTCATCTTTGCAATTGCCTAAAGTACAGTTTGGCAATGAGGGGTTAGAATAATCTGTCAATATGGTGTAATTTGACTAATCCATACTTTTTTTCTAATGGGCATATGGTTCTCAAAATATTTGACTTTAATTAGGAAAAAAGGGTTCCAAGACACCATCTAGATGACTTAAAAGTGGAGAAGAAACAATTAAGAAAGACTTAAGTATAGTAGCCATGATGACTTAAAGTGGAGAAGAAATAATTAAGAAACACTTAACTATAGTAGCCATTTATGTTAACACATTGAAATTCTTTATTATTGGAGTAGAGCGCTTACCTCTGGAGATAATACTTGTGTTCCATATTTGTCATCGCAAAAAACGTGGTTTGAATTTGATATATTTGTGGAATACTCAACACTTAGTCAAGAGGGGAAAATGTGTAATAGAGTTTGATTTATGAATTTAAACTTTTTGTTCAGTTGTGTAGATTTTTCTTTTATGTATGTATATACATTTCCTTCTCTTTTGTTAAACAACATTTTACTGAAAGAAATCTGGTTATTTTATTGTTTGCAGCATGAGAGGGAATAAACACAAAAGACTATTTGTGTAGCCAATATACCGGGCAAAGTTCATTTGTGAGCTCATCTAACATCTTTTGAGCTTTCTGATGCAAGACCTGTGAAAGTTGAACCAGCATGTGATCAGTTGCAAGTAACTCCAATTTTTCAAGTTTGATTAAGACTAAACCAGAAAAGCTACAGTTTGTCATGTGTGTTGGAGTTCATCCCAGGAAGATCCAGCAATCTGTATGGTCACAAATGGAGGTAAAATTCATTTATTTCCAGTTTGTTGAACTGTTCCAAATTAGTCTGCTGATATTTTCTCATGGATAGGTTACCTGATCTGTAGCTTTGATACACTAGTACTCTATTTTGGATCTGATTTATTACTATATGCATTCAGAGCTTGGATCATATGAGCATTCATCCATCGAATTTACATTATAGATTGATTGAAGCTATTTGTAAAATTTGAAAGGATATATATATTTTATTCCATACCAAGCTACTAGTGATAATCACTCTATATTGGTTGCATGATATAAATGTTATTTAAATTTTGTTTTAACTAAAATCAATTTGAATATTACCACAAATGATCAGGTGAACATTTCTAGTTTAATTCTCACCAGATATCTTAATTCCGTTGTTGCTTAACTCGATATATTATTTTCCCAAATTTTTGCATTGGCTCCCTAGGAGCACTGAAAGAATCTCATTTTGATCCTAAATTCTCAAATTTTGCTATAATGAACAAGCTCTATAGATGATAACAGGGTGAGGTAGCCTTCTCTGTCCCACATTCCAGTGGAGTTTTTTGAAAGGCAGGACAGAGATATGGTCTCACTTACTAGTTTATTATTAGTTAATAACTAAATTTACAAAGGTAAAATAATAATAATAATAATTTGGGGTGGGCAACTAGTTGAGGAATCCCTGTTTCATTCAGGACGTGACAATGCAGGGCGGGACATTTTGTTATCACCTGGGTCTCTACCTCATATTTCTCTTTGTTTATAATCCTTTTTCCTTGTTCTTTCTATGAAATTCTTTGGTTATTTGTGTTATGTAAATCTACCTATCATGCTTATGTTGGTTGAATTTTTGATTTCTCAACATGCAATCTCTGATGCTCGAACTTTTCAAAATGATCGGAGTACCCATGTCGGACACGACACAACATGGATATGGATATGGGATATGTGTCGGATCTTCCAAATTTTAACTGGACGCTTTGCCATTTTTTGCTTCTTTCTTTGTTTTTTCTTTTCCTTATCTTTCCGTTTCTATTCTCTATAAACCTAGCACCGCCTCTAAGAGGGTGGAGAAAGGTGACGGCACTAGATTTTCCTGTCTTTTTTTTTTTTTTTTTCCTTTCCCTTTTCTTTTCCTTCTTTCATTCTCTGTATCAGTTATATAAGGTTTTATTTGTATAAAATGAAAATGGGTTCCATATAGTGCTACTTTGTGCTCAAATAAATTCAAATTGCAATCACGCCCTTATTTTTTATTTTATATAACATTTAGTAATTAACTTTCCATAAATTGAAAACTAAATCCAAAATTTTATTTTATTCATTTTAACCCCTTATTCAATATTATTTACTTCTTTGTGAACAATTAATTTTGGACCATTCAAAATGATATTTAGAGTTAGTAAAAAAATTAAAGTTTGAATGACATATCCACGTACCCGTGTCTGAAATTTAGACTCTTTTTAATTATATCCCCGCTACCTACATTTGAGAAAATAAAAGATCTGACACTTAGATACGTATTCGTACCTGATATCCATACCCAAGTTTGAGCATCAAAGCATGCAATTTATATTGCCACATCTAATTACAAAGTCAATTGCTTTGATATGTTGATTGTATCAAACTCGTACGTGGAATTCCTTGTTTATTGCAATTTTGTTCAATTATTTACCAAACCTGCCGTATGTGGGTTTCAAATTGGAGTAAATACAATGACAGACCTTAAACTAGAAACCAAGAACATAGATTATTTCATTTATTGGAACAAACTTTTAATGGGGGAAAAAGATATTAACAGAAAAGGTGACACATTATCAAAAGCCCTTGATATGGAGTATTAGAACATACTATCTGTTCGAGCTAGCGTTCTCTTGAAGAAATTACTGGGAACAGATGGTAACTTGCTCCGAAACATGGGATGTCGCAGAATACAGAATCCCTCTACTAAAGCCACAATTCAAAATGGAGTTGCATAAAGAACCACTGATGATCATAGACAAAATAAAATGAATAGATTTGAAGCTCTCGGGTCTGTCCAGCTAAGCAGAATCTAAAATCTCTCCCCGTGTGACTATGTCTCCCACTACTGTCTGAATTCTACTGCTACACTTCTTAGCCTATCGTACCTCATTTGAACAGTATCATGGGGCCTGGATATAGGGAATGTGTCAAATTCTTCATCAAGCTCGTCCGGGTGTACTGCTTCTGCCCTGGAAAGCTTTGTGTCCATATGAGGTGGATGCCTCGGACGATACCTATAGTTCCATAGTCCTATGAGGAACATGTAGAGACAGACTGTTGGGAGTATCAACCCTAGGTAACAGATTAATATCAAAAATAGAATGTGGACTATAACTGATGTTACGAGATTCTTCCACTGACAAACATCAATAAACCATTGATTCATAGATATCATACCAGAAAGAAGTGATGTGATTC